ATCTCATCCTCTTGCTCATCATCAGCACTACATCCATCCTCTAGTGCAAGACGAGCCCTTTCAAGCTTCCTAACTCTCTCCTCCTCTTGAGCCATCTTCTTTTTTTTGCATGCCATGTCCGCCTCACGCTTCAGTCGTTCCTTTTCTCCTTCTCATTTGCATGAGTCTCATCCTCATGCATGTCATCATCATCATCACCATGACCACATTGGACATCACCATCACCATCAACATATTCTTCATTAACTTTTTCAAGAGCATGCCCAACAACTTCATTTTCTTGGCTAGGTGACGGTTGGCTAGAAGTATTGGGGGCATAGACCTCGGCACTATCCACAACACGAGCCACACTTCTACACGGGGAGGACACTTGGCGGTTCAAGTCAATATCAAGCCGCGAACCTTGCCCCTTCGTAGCAAACAATTCAAGTGACATGTCTTCCGACGCCGCAACTTTACCCTTGTATATCCCCCAATGCAACTCGGAGATGATAGGCATATTCTTCAGTCGAGATTTTGTTCCCACCCCAACATCATACCTTCCTATTAATTCAACTTTATCATTGGGGTCCATCCAATTCAACTTATCTCTTACTTTAATAACAACCTCATCATAACTAGGACTTGTGTCGAATACCACCACTTCCACGTTGTCACTTGCAGTTTTGGTCACAAATGACGCTTTGTCCAAATAATGAACATTAACAAGTCTATCATCCATCTAAAAGGGACAACAAACAAGATGAAATGACAATTATAATGCATAGTTGCAAAAACTATGCAACTCTAATGAAGCAATGGCAGCTATATATCCTAATGAGTTGTGTATCCAAAACAAATTAAAACTTATGTACTAAATAAATCATGTCATTAGCTTAACACATAACCTAACCATAACCATCATATTTATCAAATCCATCATTTGTACCCACAAAATTCATATCCCATTACTACTACCACAACTACATATTAATTAAAAGCCATCCAATACCAAAGGATTTGAATAAATCTAGAAACTAAGGTGCCACCTAGGGTTACATAATGCCACTAAAATAACAAGAAATTACTAACAAAATTTAGGGAGCCGGGGGAGATTACCTCAAACAACAAGGGAGAGAAAGATCCACAGAGGAAAATCAAATTTGTAGTGGGATTTGAGTGAGCCTTGAGGTGGGAGAGAGGGGGGGAGCTCTCCTTTGTTCTTCTTTTTCGGGATGGAAGATTGGGAGAGTGTGTGGAGAGGCCCCACACACTTTTCCCATGACCACTTATCTCTCAGGGGGGTAGACGCCAAGGTTCACGGCGTCTAGGGTTGGTGTCGACACTTGCCACGTCGGACGGTCAATCTGGCTGACCAGGGAGGTGGGCCAGTGCCAAACGCCAGGGTCCATGGCGTCCTCAGAGCAATCAGAACGCCATGGATGTTGGCGTCTCGGTTTGGGTCAGATACGAAAAAAGTTTCAAAAGCGGGTCAAATCGTGCTAAAGTTTGCCACATGGGTCAAAACAGTGAAAAAACCCGCAGCGGATACGCTCTGCTGCCAGATGCCGCCAGCTAAGGCAGCACTAGATGGGAAATTGACAGAGTCTCTACGCCTTTCTCCTCTTGCTGGTAGCTCCGCAGAGCTTTTTCTGTCACCGTTACCCATCAGATCAGGACGTTGCCAACTGATATGAAGGTGCCTACTGCCTGATCTGGGTGAGTTCCTTAGAATAACTGTGCAATGCAGTGCAGTGCAGGCATACAATGTTCAGCCTAGCTTAGAAGAGCCTGAAATGGATTGGTTTGCATCACTAGTTAAGTATTGCCACTTGCCAATATAGGATAGCTGGAAGAGCAGTTGTACATCAAGCTAGCTAGAGTCAAGCACTTCAAATCAGCATTACCATTGTAGCCTACCCCTAAATCGTTGTACAGGTCACTTCAAAAAAAAATGTCACTTTCAAAAATATCGTTGTACAGGATGAAGCATCAATTACAACTACCCAATAATGTACAGCGAACAGTCCTGGAGGCCGAAAAGACGACAAGAGCACAAGTAACCTCAACTCGACGCGCACAACAACCGACCATTCATTACATAAACTTGAACACGGGTAACAGTTTCAGTTTATGAAGTTTCTACAGCTGAGTAGCAGAGTATTATCAACCAAAAGATTAAACAAATAATAAGAAGAAAATACTGTATATGCGGTAGGATACAGTATGATCTACCCTTCTTTTTCCGACTTAGCTTCTTACCAATTGGGCAAACTAGACAAGGAGATGCCCATGCTATCATTATGATGCCCATCCAGGAGGTTGTTCACATTGTACAAATTACAACAACACCTGCAAACAATCAGGCATTAGATCGCTAGCAAGATTACACGTGCTTCTGCTGAATATGTCTTCAAAGTAGCATTCTCTGATCAACATGTAAATATTGTCACTGATATCTAGGCTTTAAACTGGGTGTACTCATAGGCGCGCTTAAGCGCTGAGCGCAGGCCTACCACTTCGCTTTTCGGGTAAGCATTGAAAAAAGCGCTCAGATGACAAAGGAGAGCGGGGTGCGCGAAACAGAGGAGAGAAAGGCGGCCTTCTCCCGCCAAATGTGGGGCTTTCTTCCCCGACCTCACCACCCATCTTCCCCGACCAAGTGCCGCTGGACCTCGAGCTCCCCTTCCCCGACCCCGCTGTCAGTCCTTCCCCCTCCTCCCTGATCTCGGGCTCCCTTGTCTAGACTGGAGCCCGATGGCTTCTCTTCCCAGACCTCGCCGCTGCCAGCTTTCTTCCCCTTCCCTGACCTCTAAGCTCCTCCACGTTTCTCCTTTCCCAACATGCTTGCGAGTTTAGATGCCTTACATGCTTAAAATTGTTGGGTGCCCTTGTTCCTATCTGTAACGTTGGTATAGAACGCTTAAGCACCCTCGCTCATTGCACTAAGCTGAGGGACAACGCTCCCTCAGCGCCTAACACTTAAAAACCTTGCGTAAACTAGAAAATTATTGAACCATGCCTAGGATGGAAATTGACTTATAGCATCAAACATTCCTAACTTGAGATGGTTAAAAGAAATGATAAATAAATAGAAAGATGGTTGAGGATTTGAGAATAAAGAAATAATAAGAGAATAAAATAATCTAACCCGTCTTTTACCAGTGAAACATTTTTTTCCACTCTTAAATATAAAAAATTGTTGTATCATTGGTAACTATTTTTTATAAAAAAAATTGCAGACACAAATCAAAATCATCGCTTTTCGCTTAATATCGTTGGTGCACGTCCTACCAAATTTAAATAGAAAGGCAAAAATACGCTTATATTAGATAAGTGAGACAATGTTCTTTGTTTATTTTCATAATCCTTTCAAGTCCAATTACAACGCTTAAAGCTTCTGCACCAAAACATGCCGACTTCAAACCCACATAAGATCGCAGAATGCTCAGAATCATTTAAGCAATTTTTTCGGTCAATTTGAGTTTAACTTTTACATATGAATGTAACATAAAACAAAACATTTTCATCAAAACAACTAGCAGATACAATTTTAAAACATTATTAATATATAATATACTTAATTCTGTAGAAAAATATTTACCTAAACCTAACATAACACAAAACATTTCAATTTAGCATTACAAAATCATGCAATTTGGTACATACGTTTTATTATTCTACCTTAGCAAAGTACAATATCATAATTTTAATTTTGCCAGTGGTTTGAATACATTTATTATGATTGATGTGTTTATTCATATTCTTGTGAATTGGATGTGTAATTCTACAGAATTCATGTGTTTTCTAAGTGAAAAGGCTGGATCTCGATAATCGATATGAGATTAGGCTTATTGATTTCATGATATGCTTTTTTATGAAAATTCTAACCATTGATGGTAATTTTTTTTAGCAACAATAGGAGGTGGATAATTTTATACTATGTTGAATTAGATTGGACTAACTCAACTATTTATCGTCCATAATCTTGATACAACTATACACTCACCTATTATACTATGCTTTGTCATAGCCAATCCTACACTTCCATAGTTGGTTATTCCTCTTCATAATTACTTACCTTTTGCTATATTTCTTACCTAGCTTAGTTACCATGCAGAATAGTGGCACACATATGTAATGTTGTACAACCTAATTGGATCGTGGACATGTGGCACAATATAAGCGCTTTAACACTCATTACTCTAGATCTTTGTACCTAAATATCTAGGTCTAGATAATTTCTACTTACCCATACTTCTCATATTTTCCATGATACATAGTAATTAGTTTACTTTCTCTTCATAACAAATAATTAGCTTCACATATTTTCCCATATTATTCGAAAATACTCCAAGTATGCACTGCATTTTTCAACACAGATCAATAGTCCGACTTAAATAACTCACATTTCTAAATGTGCTCATGTAGTCTGAGTGACCTGATTTGACTAACTTTACTAGTTACCGTGCTTCAATTTTTGACTTGTCAGTAATGGAATTAAATTTAATATGAACACTTTCCTAATCAATTGCTTGAATCGAATAATTTACGACATAGTAAGTGTGCAATTTAATTATGTAGCCTCTAATAGTGTAGAGTTGTATTAAAACGATATCCAAACCATCGACCTCTAGATCTAATGCAAATGGGTCATGAGATATTCAAATAAACTTTTAAGTCACAAGAAGAAGAGCAATTTCATCCGTGCAATCAACTAGCAATTAAGTATATAACACACCCTTTATACTTTGTTATGTGTCTTGTAATTCATTTATATCAAACGATTAACTGGTTTATATTTGCAAATACAAAAATGACCGGTCATCTTCTGATTAGTCCACCCCAATTCAACACATTATCATTCTATCCACCTCCTAGTGTTGCTAATAATTCACCAAAAAAGACTCTAAATATTTAGTAAAAAGCAAATCATTATAACAACAGCGACAATCTCATATAGACGTTCAAAAATTTCACTACAAGATTAAGCTGAAGATAAAACAACAATATCTTACCTCTCAATCGGCTCCAACGCCGCCGCTGCCACCAAGCGGGTACGATACGACCTCTCTGACCACCGGCCCGACTTCTACCAGCGCAATGTCCATACCATACCCGGAGACAGGCAGAAGCTTGAGCTCACGGAGCACGCAGAAGGCCTCGGCCATACGGCCACGTGGCACATCGACGGCGACGGCGCACCGCGGGACCCAGTTGTCTGGGCGGAACCCGTCGGGCACCTCGAGCCCCGTGTCCTTGCGCAGCAGCTCGCAGAGCTGCGCGTGGAGGCCGAGCAGCGCCGCCGATGGCGTGGGCGAAAGGAAGAGGACCCCCGCATCAAGGGATGACGGGGGCGACGCGAGCGAGGAGAGCGCGAGAGGGAGCGGGTCGATGCGGGAGGCGAGCGCGCGGAGGGCGGGCGCGAGGCGGAGCGGGTCGGGGAGCGCGGCGGCCGGGAGATGCAGCAGCGGGAGGTGCGGGCGGGACGCGGTGTCGATGAGGCGGCTGCTGAGCTGCCGCCGCGCGAGAGCGTTCCACGCCTTGAGCACCTGGTTCTCCAGCGCGGGATCGAAGTAGAGCTCTACCGCGTAGTGCCCGGAGGGGACCGGCTGCGCCGCCGCCGCCGCGCGGGGGGTGCCTGGGGGAGTCGTCGCGACCGCCACCGGGGTGGAGAAAACACCCCCGCCGCCTCCGCCGGCCGCGGAGGGCGCGGTACCTTGCGCCATGGCGAGGGCGGCGAGCTCCGGATGCGCGATTCCGACAGGGATGCGAGGGGGTCGGAGGAGTGGGATGTTGGGTTTTCCGCTGGGAGGTGAGAAATTTGGGAGATCTCGTACGACTGAGCTACTGTGGTGTGCACGCTTGGAATAGCTACAGTCAGAGGTTGGTGGGCCCCATCGGGTGAATTGCTGACTACTGAGAGCTTTGATGTTTACCCGACTTAACTTTTTTTTGGGGTAAAAAGAGTTTTATTCCATAATGATAGAGTTACCTGAGTTATTAATAACAGAAAAAAAACATAGCATGTCAAACTTTACAAATCCAAAACCATCTATTCATGTGTGTACCATTGCCTTCTGTTTTAAAAACACACATACACAATTTTATACTCCCTCCGTTCCAAAATTCTTGTCTTAGATTTGTGTAAATACGAATGTATCTAGTTACGTTTTAGTGTTAAATACATCCGTATCTAGACAAATTTAGGACAAAAATTTTAGGACGGAAGAGGTATCATAGTTTTGTTTTTGATTTTGTGGAGATGCACTGATACGTGTTTTTTTATTTAAACTTAGAAAACTACTTTCTCGGAGAGTTGTACTACTAAAGTAGCGACAATTATATCCTCAAGAACATGCGCCCCCCACCCCCCTTCCCCCGCGTCACCCTCCTCTGGCGACACGGGGGAACCCTAGCCGCCGCTACTAGGAGCCCCCGTCGGCGGCCTTCCACGCATCGCCGCCGCCGGCCGTGCCCCAGGAAGGTGGCGGCGGGGCGGACTTGGGCCCCTCACGCCCCCAACGCCCACCCCTCTTCGCCGCGGCGGCGCCCTCCCCCTGTTGGTTCGACGGCTGCGGATCCAGCCTCCCCAGGAGCGGCCTGGCCCCGTGCGTCTCCGACCGGCCGCGCCCCCTCCCCCGCCATCCTCGGCCGCCGCAGCTTTCCCTCCCCACACGCCTCCCCTCCTTTGCCCGCGACTCGGTCCCCTTCCGGCGATTCTTGGGCTCCCCTCCCAGCCGCTGCTCGAGCCTGCTGGTCGGCAGCGACGGCCGGTTGCGGGGCATTCGCGGCCTGCCCTCCCGTGCAGGCGGCCCCCTCGTCTCCGGCAGCCCTCCCCCTTCCCAAGCCACGGTGGTGGCTCTCACGTGGTGGCTGCGAGATGTACATGGTTGGGGCTGACTCGGGGCCCTTCGCGGCGGGTTTTTGCTGGTGTTATTCCCGCCCCGGCTGCTACAGGCTCGCTCTCTCCGGTGTCCTTCGCTGCCGGCATTCTCCACCAGGCTGCCCCGGCCCGGCGACTGGGTAGCTGCGCCCCTTCCAGCTTACCTGGCTCGCCGAGATCTCGACGGTCAAGGTCACGATAGCTCGGACCTGCGTGCTTCCAGTCCTTGCTTGCCGGCGTCGCTGAAAGCCGTCGTGGCAAGACCCCCACGTGGTTCGCCTCGTCACCCGCCCTACCTTGTACGCCTCAAAGCCCCCCTCCCCTTTGCCAGATCCGGTGCTCCTGGGTGCAGTGGTGGTGCCACCCTCCGACGGCAGGTGCAGCCCCGCCAAATCCCACATGACTTGGTGACTCCAATCAGCGTTGGCCCCCTCATCTATGATCCCAAATTCGGCGGCTATGGGTGCTCTCAGCTTCAGGCCAGGGAGAGATCTCTGCTCGACTCGCCGATGCTGGCAGCGATGGCGCACGCGGGTGTCGCTTTCCTCCATGGAGGCGCTGCCAAGGCCTTCTTTCACCGCGCCCCTCTTCGAGCTTAGGGGAAACCCTAGGTCCGGGTCTCCCGGACCGGATAGTGACGGAGTCTCGGCGATGTTCTCCTTCTTGAAGGCACTATCTTGCTCGCTCACGGTGTCCCCGGTCTTGGCTCGGATGATGTTGGAGTTCTCGTTGGTTTGGTAGTGCCGCTATTGGCTCGGGTTTGGTAGCTTTAGCTGTGTTGTATCTTGTGTTTGGGCCGAGCATCCCTTGTCTCTCTGTTCCGGACACCATGTTCACGCCTACATGCGTTCGTGTTGTGTGTTGTACCCCTGTACTCATTATTCTTCTTCTATCAATGGAATGATATGCGAGAATGGCCTTTTGGAGGCCGAGCTCCATGGAGCCCTTTATTTTTGAAAAATTCAAATTCAAATTTTTATGTTTCAAAATTTTTTGAAAAAAATATATGTGTGTAAGGATGTAATCCACATGTGTGTAAAAATTCATGATGAAATACCTTGAGTTGCGACATGTACAAAAAAGACAAATTCATGGCCTGGGAGGATGAATAGTATCATGTGTTAAATAGCCCCAGATTTGGTGTTTTTGCTTAGCCTCATTTCAACGTATTTTGCCCTAAAAATTTACACACATGTGTTATGACTTCATGTATATCTGTGTTTTTTCAGAATTTTTTGAAACGTAAAAATATGAATTTTGATGAAATTTGAATTTTGAATTTGGAGGCCTCATTGGAGCTCGGTCACCTAAAGGGATTTCCGATGATACGCAAGCTTTGCGTATTCGCGAAAAAAGTAGTGACAATTAATATGGATCGGAGGGAGTACCTCTTTGTTTGGAAAGATCGTGAAACATAGGTAAAATGTTTATCCGACTAAATAAGTATAAACACACGACAAAAAATAGTTCTCATTAAGGTGAGAAAAGTAATACAAAGTGCCAAGATGATGGATGTGGGATGGAACAACACAAGCTTCAATGGCATTGCGGCCACTGTTCCAAAAATCTTCCGATTCAACGATTTATCGCTACTCTTAGGGTGACCGATAAGATTATACCTTATCTTCATCGTTTATCGTTTGGGCCGATTTATCGCTTTGATAAGCGATTTATCAGGAATCTACCAATAAATTAGTGCTATTCATAGCACTATTTTTGCAAAAACTACGTTTCTTTGTGTTTTTTGGACCTTGTTACGCAATATGTATCATTGTCCTATTCTATTTTTCATTATACGATGATTCAAAGATTAGGAATCAAGGTATCACTTCTGTCCAGTATTATTTTGATGTTGAATATAGCATATTTTAGTGTTGGGAACCTGGGATTTGCAAAAAAATGTCTGATTAATAGTCAACCGATAAAATCGATTAATCGGACGATTTCTGATTAATCCCTAATCCACAGCTGACCAAGACGGTAACGATAAGCGATATCCTCAACATTGATTGCGGCAAGACTTTATAGAAGCTGAAGATATAAAAGGTAGTTGTAAGGCGCACCATAGATTATCTTTAGTCTTACCAGTTTGAGAATAGGGTTTAGGGTTTCCCGTGGGGCAAAGCCTCTCCACGTCTTTCTATCACTACAAAAAAAGACACATCCGTGACATTTTGGGCCGAACGAATTTTTTTTCTGTCATACATATGACACTTCTATGACGATAATTGTGACAAAACCCAGTATCATCATAGATGTGGTGGGCTCCTACTTCTATGACACAAAATCATGACAGAAAATGGGCTTTTTGTTTTGGGTGGGCCGGAGACGCAGCTGCATGACATTCTTTGGGCCGTCCATGACAGAAAAAACCGTGGTAGAAGCGAGGGGAAGGAAAATTTCGGGGAGTTGTCGGTTATGGTGGGAGGTCGGGGGCGGAGCGATGCGCGTTTCTCTCGTACGTACGCGCGTGTGTGCGAGGCGTTGGCTCTAACTGAAGCCGAGCGAGGCGTTGTGCTCTAACTGAACCCGAGCGATTGCACTGCAGGCTACGCGTTACTGAACCCGAGCGATCGATCGATGGCTATTAACTGAACCCGATGGAGCGATTCCTTCGCTACTGCTGCTAACTGAAGCCGATCGATGCTGCCTCTGGGATGAACAGTGATCGTTGCAGGGGGGGTGGGGTTGGATGAACAGTGAGCGGTGGCGTTGCCTCTGGATGAACAGGAACCCGTGGTGTGGAGGGCTGGATGAACAGTAGACGGTGGAGGGGTGGCCGTGGAGGGGTGGTTGAACAGGACCCCGTGGTGTGGAGGGCTGGATGAACAGTAGACGGTGGACGGGTGCCTGTGGAGGGGTGGTTGAACAGTAGCCGGTGAAGTAGCGCGCGGTGGAGGCT